AAAAAACACCTGAAGGACTCCAAGATGGTGAGAAATAAGATTCTCTGGTCTGATGAGACCAAGATAGAACTTTTTGGCCTTAATTCAATCAATTCATTAATGCAATCGAGGGAAGGATGAATGCGGCCAAGTACAGGGATATCCTGGACGAAAACCTTCTCCAGAATGCTCAGGAACTCAGACTGGGCCGAAGGTTCACCTTCCAACAAGACAATGGCCCTAAGCACACAGCTAAAATAACGAAGGAGTGGCTTTACAACAACTCTGTGACTGTTCTTGAATGGCCCAGCCAGAGCCCTGATTTAAACCCAATTGAGCATCTCTGGAGAGACCTGAAAATGGCTGTCCACCAATGTTTACCATCCAACCTGACAGAACTGGAGAGGATCTGCAAGGAGGAATGGCAGAGGATCCCCAAATGCAGGTGTGAAAAACTTGTTGCATCATTCCCAAAAAGACTCATGGCTGTATTAGCTCCAAAGGGTGCTTCTACTAAATACTGAGCAAAGGGTCTGAATACTTATGACCATGTGATATTTCAGTTTTTCTTTTTTAATAAATCTGCAAAAATGTCAAATTCTGTGTTTTTCTGTCAATATGGGGTGCTGTGTGTACATTAATGAGGAAAAAAATGAACTTAAATGATTTTAGCATATGGCTGGAATATAACAAAGAGTGAAAAATTTAAGGGGGTCTGAATACTTTCCGTACCCACTGTATGTAATGTTTTATAAGGTTTGGTGACTTGGAACCCATGCATGCTTTAATCACTGAATTTAATATCCAACCTGAGACACCAATTAAAAATGTAAACACCAAACTAATAACCTTGTTTAGCAGATCTATTCAAATGGTCTCTCATGGGCTTTACAGTTTCTAAGCAGGTTTATGTCAGCAGATGATCTCAGGACATTTACCTAACTACTGTAAAGCCCACAAAGGTCTATGTCATTACAACAGAACGCATGAGGAGTCTGTACTAAGACGGAGTATTAAAGCCACCCTAAGGGAAAAAATGAGAGAACGATGTTTACATTTTTTTATTATGTTGAGAATCAAGTCAAACTTTCACATTTCAACTTTTTTTCTGGAAAACTTTATTTTTGACATGCAAAATAAAAAAAAACAACTTTCTGCTCTCATGATTTCCCCTTAATGTGGCCCTAACACTCTATTGTACAGAAAACACTACTGGATGCTACAATCCTGCAAGCTCACAGGTAGTCTTCAAGTCCCCAGCAGCCACAGTCTGAGCATCTGGTGGTGGTGGCCAGTCATAATTTTATTTCTGAGGTGAGGCAGGCTTTGACCTCACATGTTTCCATACAGAAACAAGGAACCTGTGCAGTAACATAACAGCCTGTGTTGGTTGGAAAGTGTTACTTGTGTGAAGCTGTTGAATGTCAGAAGTTGACCAACATGAATGCATAACTGAAATGGCACTAGCAGTGTCACCTGGCCAGCCCCTTGTCCAGAAATGTTACATTTCTTAAATAATATGAAAATACCTCAAACGGGTATAATAACAATAAAAGCATCAAACTGAGTTGAGATCACTTGGACGAGAGCAGCAGAAGAAAATATTTTATTCATTCATTTTCAAACGTTCCTCGCTGATCTGGGATTTGACTGTTCGGTGAGGCAGTGGGCAGCGCCTTTATTTTGAAGGTTCCCCACCGGTAGTCTGGTGTGGTGCTGTGTCTGACTTTCCTCCTGTTGCCAGAGGGAGCTGACAGTTGGTGAACAGAGTGGATCAGAGTCGCTTGGGGACTGGTGAGCTTCTCGTTCAGCTGTCCGGAGGAGAGCGACAGAGCCTGGAAACGTATGATCTGAGAAGGTAGAGCTGCGCTTTATGCACACATCTGCACACACTGGCGTTTAGGTCCGCGGACCTTTCCTCGCCACCTCGAGCTGTTCCACGCGTCCTTGTGCTGCCGATGGTGCAGCGTGCAGGTCTCACCTGTGCTCGTTTCAATTAGGCAAAACTTCAATTACTTGTATTACCTGTAAACAGAAAGTGTCTTGGGGATGATAGGATGTCTGTAGGTTTTCTCAGCAGCGTTGGCTACGCGTCCTCACAGTGCGCAGCAGAGATGCTTGCTTACTGTAGCTACAGTATCTTATGGCGAGAAGAGACTGATCCGGTGCAGAGATATGACCCGCGAGGGATGCTTTGTGAAGCCATAATGCAAGTCACAACAGGGCTCCAAACTACACAGAAGATGATACTCCACGCGTTGATTATACAGTAGGATTCGGGAATAACAGCCAGGTGGTTTAATGTCGCCAGAAACTCATCCCAGTCAGGCTGTGAGTCTCTGAGGGGATGTTTTATGGCCTTTATGGTGATTTTTGTTAAGATACACTGAGGAGATCTGCTCCCCTCCAACCTACTATCATAACTCAGATAGTTTATTACCACAGCTTGCTTTAACACAGACATGGTGAACATGCCAAGCTGTAATAGTCTGGCATATCAATAAATGACTGAAAAATGCCTGAAATTTAAAGTTGGCTGCAGCATGAGTTGGAAACAAAAGGGCTTGTGTCTCTATGTCCTGACATTGCAGAGGCGTAGTAGCTGCAGAAATTCTGATGATCATGCAGTAAAAAAACAATTTAACATGGCATGTCTGTAGGTGGACAAGGTTAAGTGGAAACAAAGCAGGTGACAGTTGTGTTTCCTCCTGCACCTTCAGCTCTGCAGAGAGACATTGTGCTTTATGTTAGATGCTGCTTCGGAGAGTGGCGCATATAGGCAGCAGGGATAGTACTGTTTTTCCTCACTACCCGACAGTACTGGATACGGTATGCTCTACCATGATCCACAACTATTTGTCTGACTTCCAATATCTCAAGAAATAATGTTTCAGAATAAAAATAATATGCTTGATTGTGCATACAGACGTAGGAAGAGAGATTTCTGAGGCACTACTTGATCCAGTGGGGATGTGTATTGGCACTGTTACATAATGTGCATCTCAGGAGTTTCTCTACAAGCTCATATTCTTCAACATTCAACAAGTGAACAGCACCGTTGTTTCCTTGAATATGAAACTGTGTTAAGTTCACTAAATTGTAAACACATTTGCCAGTTATGAAGCTGTGGACCAGGGATCTGTTGTCCCTGGTAACGTCTGCACCGCTTAAACTATTGCACCTACAGTATTTAAAACTAATGCTTTTCCACAGAGCTACGCGTGAACTGTCGGCACCAGGTGCTTCACTGTGGTGATCACACAGAGGAGAGATAAACTGGGTCTGCATCTGCACTGCTTGTGTTGTCAGCAGCTGTTAGCAGATTCCGTACACTCTTCATCCTCCGGCTCCGCGTCTAGTAGCAGCAGATCATTTCTCTTCCACCAATCAGTGTGCGGTCCCTGCATAGCCAGAGTCAGCCCACCATTCAGAACTAACCTATTTGTGGTGTTTTAATAACACAGTTTTGACGTCATGTAGTCCTGAGTGATGCACTCACAACAGATGACCTTTGCACACACAGTGTGTAGCTCGGGTGTACGTTGGCTAAGAAAAAGCACAAAGATTATGACAATTGATATTGGGTTGTTTAAATAAATAAATTGGAAGGTTGATTTTTTTTTTTTTTAAATCAGCCATTTATCCAAAGAAGGATCATTAAAAACTCCAAACCAACTGGATATCGGTTTGGAAGTGATTTGATGGGAAGGTCAAACATATCTTGGATGTAAGTGAAGTTTTTACGTCATGAGTGGATGGTGTTGCTACTAGAGATGAGTCTTAGCTTCACATCCCCATTTATCATATTTTGAAACATTTTTGCAAATTCATGCCTGTGTAGCTAATGGGAAATATATAATAACATATATTTATAGATATGTATCAATGCAACAAAAGATTTTAGGATTGTTTGTAACTAACAGATACTCTAGTATTTCAGCACAGTAACATCTTTGTAAATTCCCGTCTTCTCCCCGTCCCTCCTTTCCCTCTCTCCTCCATCCTCTGTCCCTGTTTCTCTCCTCCCTCCACTCACTCATCTTCTTTCTCTCACTGTCCTTTCACCTGTCCGTCTGTTTTTCCTGCTCTGTTCTGTCATTTCTTCTCTCTGGCTTTTCTTGTTCACCTCCTCTTCCCTTCTCTCTTCTCCTTCCTCACCTTTCTTTCCCTGCTACCTCCATCCACCCCGGCACACCTCTGCCCCTATCTCTGCATTCCTCACCCCTGTCCTGCTCAGGTGTGTCGTGTCCTCTTGTCTGCTGGAATCAGGATGCAGTTCTCAGTCAGACTCGGCCTTTGCCTGCTGGGCTTTGTTCTCATCTCTCTGTCCCCTCAGCCAGCGCGAGGCCAAGGTAAGTACCTCCACAAGGCTGCTTTCTGGTGCAGGGTCACCGAGCTCAGGAGGGGATTAATATGCAGCTACATGGGACCGAACATGGCCAAGCTGGGCTTTTTACAAAAGGGCAGATGCTTTCAAATGATTCTTTGCATAGTGGCACCACATAGAGCCAGAAACAGGACACTCTGATGCCACCCTTCAACAAAGATAGCTGGATTTACACTATAAGGTGAAGCAAGGCTTTCTACACTGGTGGCAAATGGGAATACCAGGACCTCCCATGATGAATAGGCAACATAGCATATTTGTTTGTTTCTGTAATGGGTCAGATGCCATCCACCATGCACCTGCTTTCAGCTTTATGACAAAGCTCCTTGCTGGTTCAGTTGACCTCAGTGTGGCCCCGCTGTGGAAATGCAGGTCAGCATCTTTTTATTCAGCAAGTTCAAGTCTGAGTTTCACTGTGTTGTATTTAAGATGTGCAGCTTTGTTCCAAACAAACTGACTCTTGTTTTAAAGTGTTCATTTAAGTTTTCCTTTTAACATGTGTTGACCCAAATGTGTCTGTCTCAAAAGGGAAAGCTGTGAAAATCATAATGAGAAAATGTGTTTGTCTTGCACATGCACTGATTTGCTGTGGCACAATCTGTTGCCTCTGTCAATAATCCACACACGTGTTAAACTTGTTTTATTTATGTGTGTCTTTAAGTCAAAACATAAAATCATCACTCACCGTTATGATCATTAACTATTTTATACACTCCTTTGAACCAGGCAAGCGATGAGTTGGTATTAGCTGAAGAGCTGACTGTAGATCTTGGAAGAGGTTTTGTACCTACTGTATTTTTAATTGCAGTATGTAGGGTATCACATCTGGTATGGTGGTGAGAAGACAAACACACCGAATGATTAATGTTTTGCTTTGAACACAGTTCTGTACTGATGCTGCACCCAGATATGTTCTGCATGAGCCAGAAGTTGTAAAGGTTGTTGACAATGCTGAACCTGAAACAGTCAGCACTGTGGTGTAAAACCAAAGTCTGCTGGAACGGGTCCACAACCACAGAGTCAGTGCACGTGCTGTTGCTGTGCCATGGAGTTTGAAAGGCAAACGTGCAGGCTAATTGGCTAACGTGGCCAGTTAGACCATAACTGTAAGTTGCTTTCAGGCAGTGAGGGGTTACCTCTCTGCTGCTGCTACACAATGTCCATGCAGACCCTCACACATTACGTTTTACTGTATCTATGTGCTGCTATCCCATGAAGCAACATTTTCAAATGTTCAAAGCTTAACAGAGAGGGATTAATTGTCATTATGATATAACTACTTTCATCATTTCAGACAAGATAGTTCAGTTGATGTTTTTCCAAACCAGTTTCTTTGTACATGTTTAATATTGCAAAATTCATGGTCTGAGACACTATTAAAATCTGTCCCATATTGTTTCCTTAGAGCACATGTGTCAAACTCTGAATCCGGCCCGTCGGATCATTTTGTGTGGCCCTTGAAAGCTTAAAATGTGTATGGTTGTCTTAAAATAAAAGGCTATACTAATTGAAAACGTACACTGACCATAAACTACATCTCCCACAATGCACGACGATTTCGGGACCCACGAAGTATTGGCATCCCGCCACTAGATGGCAGTGTATTGCATTCAGCATTTAACCAGCAACCTCCCGACAAGTGAAAGTGAGAAGTACCAACGATTAACACCAAAATGTTCAAGAAGAGAAAGGTTGATACAGAAGACAATTTTACAAAAGGCAGGAAAGCGAATGCATGTTTCTGCTTCAAGGAGAGAAACCCGTGTGTCTTTTTGAGGTGGTATTGGTGGTGGAGTACAACATGCCTAGGTATTTTGAGACCAAACACAGAGCTAAGTATGCTAAAATTAGCCTCCGAGAAAAAACAAATAGTC